TGATATTTTGCTGCCTGTGGTTTCTTCCAGGATTTTTATGCAGATAATAATGCAGCGAAGGCCTGGGAGGAGCTTGAAGCAGGATGGAGGGGGAAGGAGGAACATCTATAATACTTTCAATAATAAAAATAATTTTAAGAGGTGAAAAAAAGAAATGCTAGGACACCCTATGTCTTTGTGTCATTAGCTTTTAATTCAAAGTCTTAGGCAAATGCACCTGATTAAATAAATAAATAAATGAATAAGAAGAAGTGTTTGGTTTAGTCTCCACATACTAGTATTGTGGGATTTTCTAGTTAGCTTTCTCTTACTAGTTTGTAGTTTAATTCCATTGTGGTCTGCTGAGAGCATACCTTGCATGATTTCTGTTTTTATTTCTATTTTAAAGTGTGTTTTATGCCCAGAATGTGATCTGTGTTTGTGAATGTTCTCTGTGAACTTGAGAAGAATGTGTATTCTAGTATTGTCAGATGAAGTGTTCTGCAGATGTCAGTTATATCAGGTTGATTGATGGAGCTGTGCAGTTCAACTATGTTCTTACTGATTTTTCTGCCTTATGGATCTCTCCATTACTGATAGGGTGTTGAAGTCTCCAGCTATTGTAGTGGATTCATCTATTTCTCCTTGCAGTGCTATCAGTTTTTGCCTCACATAGTTGGATGCTCTGCTGTTAGACATACACATTGTTAAAGATTGCTAAGTCTTCTTGGAGAATTGACCCCTTTGTAATTATGGAATGCCTTTCTTTGCCCTGATAACTTTTCTTGTTCTGATATCTGTTATGTCTGAAATTAATATAGCTACTCCTGATTTCTTTCAATTAATGTTAGAATAATCTATCTTTCACTATCTGTATTTCAAAATGGATATTTTCCTATTCTTTGTGCCAGAGACTGGGGGGCAGGAGTTGTTCATTCTTTACTGTGAGGACCTGATAGGGCTCCTGGAGGTAAGAATCACAAAAGTATGGGGGCACCTAACAATCAAGATTCAGACTTGTTCACACTGAACCTCCAATAATGTGTCAATTAGGGTTTAGGTTTTTCTACCCCATTGCCGGTTCTCACTGAGATTTCTGCTCTGGTGAGTTGTAATTCTCTGTATCTACCTGTTTGTCCTGGGACCTCAATTATGATGAGTTGTCTAAGAAGAGTTGTTGATTTCATTTTGTTCAACTTTTTACTTGTTAGGACAGAGTGATGATTTCCAAGTTTCTTGCATGCTAAACTGTAAACTCTGATTCTTTGATTCGTTTTTCATGTCGGTAGAAAGTTTGTTGTTGTTGTTGTTGTTGTTGTTGTTGTTGTTGTTACAGGGGTCTTTGAGATTCATGCAGTTCAAGTTTGAAGAGTTGAGATTAAAATATTTCAGGCAACCATTTGTTAAAAATCAAATGGGAAATAAATTGACTTGTGTCTTTAGATAAGATTGCAAAGAAAATTGCTTCCACTTTATGAGTTTCCCCTGCACAAAACACTTTATTTCATTGTTTACAAAGTTTTCCTTGGAGTTTTCAGAGTTTCACTTGAAAAAAAAAAATACAGAACGGAAACTCAAAGCCTATAAGGGGGAGTAAAAGAGAAAGAGAAAAGTTCAGTTTATCCACAGACATTCCCAAGCCTCAATTCCAAATCTAGCCTTCCTCAACCATTATGTAATTACTAGGGGCCCAATGCATGAAATTTGTGCACAGGTAGGGTTCCTAGGCCTGGCCGGCTATCAGGGCTGATCGGGGCCTTCCAGCTGGCTGGCAGGGCCTTCCCTTGCTGGCTGCCCACTTGAGCCTTCCTTCATTTCACACCTGGTATTCCCACACGTCATAGTGAGTGATCGAACTGCAGTCTCTGGTCGAACTCCTGAGGGAACACTTTGCATATTAGCTATATATATACTATATACTATATATATATATATATATATATATATATATATATATATATATGTGTGTGTGTGTGTGTGTGTGTGTGTGTGTGTGTGTGTGTGTGTGTATATATATATATATATAGTACTGCATCAGGCTGTGTATAAGAAAGAACATATATGAAACCCCAAGCAACAACTTGCATCCTTCATAACCAGGCAAGATACTTTGAAAATTAGGCTATAGAACAACTCTCCTTTCTAAGGGTTTGGTATGACAATGACTACTTCAATTAACAAGAATATTTGGTACCACCTGCTTTGTATAAAGCCTTAGTTAGATGCTAGTAAATTAATCCTACCTTTCAAAACCTCATATTTAGTTGTGGGGTTGTATCATCTGTAAAATGGGAGGTAAGAATAGTTCTTATTAGGTTATTAGGATTAAGTGAGATGGCACTGAGAGATGCCACTTGTGCACCATAGGTTAGTTTCCATTCCCTTTCATTCCATATAATCCTCTAAGTGCCATTATTAACAGAGGGCAGAAGTATCCACAAACATGCTTTTTTGGGGCCTCATACTATTTTATTTTTTAATTTGAATTACTAGTATCTGATTTAATTTGAATTACTAGTATCTGATGACACTTTAAATATTTTTAAGTTCACAAAAGTGTGGATTTCTAGTTTTTCCTGAAATTTACAATGTCTGGGACCTCCATGAGATATCGCTTTTAGAGCCAAGTGGCAGTTACCCTCTTCCATTACTCTAGTCTCCAGTTCTCCTTGTTGTATTGTGCCTACTTCACCTACTTATGCCACTTGCCTGGCCCTTGTGAGGTATTTGTGCTTGTGACATTTGATGAGACAGACTAATGCAGGAAGCCTTGCTGTGCACATTGTGAGCTGGGTCTTGAAGAAGGTTTATGGAGACAGAGGATGTGCTTAATGGATATGAGCTTAAAGCTCTAGGTCTCTCGTATGAAGATCTCTGTTTGATTTGAGCATGTTCTCTTGAGTCCTTAAAAGGCTATTTTTGTGCTTAAGGAAGATCACCATTAAAGTGTATAGTGTGACATCACTGAAATTAGTTCACACCTGGGGAGGATTATAGCGGAAAAAGGGCTTTACCTGTATAAGCATTCATTGGTGCACACATCCCCCCCATCCACCACCCCTTCCCAGCAACAACACCAGAAGTTCATTCACTGTCATTCCTTAACCTGTAAGGATCAGAGGGATGCAAGCAAAAAAAAGACAAAAAGGGAAGTCAGATGAACTTGGCTATAGCTTTCTTCATAGGCGGAACAAAAGAAAATATTGTGGCAATCATCAGCATAAATTATTCCAAAGTCAAAGAAAAAGCAAAATAGGGATATTTTGCCTGAATTATGGGGCTAATTATCTCAGTCCTCTATTCGAGTGTTCTGGGGAGACCTGGCCTGAGAATGCTCTTCCAATGAGCTGGCAAATTTAGAAAGGGAGAGAAAATGTGTTATTGTAACCACAGCTGGAGCCTGGTGCTGCCTCTGTCCAGAACACCGATGGAGAACATCTGAGTCCAGCCTGCCTCTCAGAGGAGCATGGTTGCCTAGAAAAGCCGGGCTCTGGAGAAGGTGATCACGCTCTGCACACTGGTGAGAGGAATGCCAGTGCCCAAAGGAGTGACACTGGCTTGCTTTTCAAAATCTTCACAATTTGAATGCTCTCATAGAAGTTATAGGTGATTTTCCCCCAACAACTTTTAGAACTAAAAAAGGGCAACTTATTAATGAAACAGTTCTGCTCTCAAAGTACGATATTAAAAGATTATTATAACTACAGGCAAGAAAGCATTTGCGTTATGTGGCATTTGGAAATGATGATAAAGATTATCCATATGGTCTAATGTTGTCACTGCCTTACACTGCATTAGCAATCACCTAATTGGGGGTAATTTTGATTATGTGGCTTATTTTAAATTCTGCTGTGTCCTAGATCAATCAGAGTCAATAGCTGCCATTTTCTTCGGTAAATGTTGCTAGGTGCTTGGGCATAATAAGAATGTGTTGGGACATAAAATTTTAGGTATTATGGTGCCATGGTCCTCTTAAAACTTCACTTTTTACCATCTCTAATTCTATTTTTGTCTGTCTTTGGTGCATAAAACCAGCTCCGGTAGTAACAGCTATAAAGACATGTTTGATCTGTTTATTTGGATGTCAGTTCCCCTTAAGTTTATGGCTTTTGTCTAGGTATCTGTAACTCTAGGAGCTTTTGGTGGTCAGTGAGAAGGATGTAGAGTAAGCATGTCAAATTCAAAGGCTAACTCGGGCCAAATAAACGATGCGTGAGAATTTGACATCCTTGTTGTAGAGGCCAGTGTTAAACTGTGCCTCCAGAAGAACTGGAAATACCTCTGCTTTCCTCAGCCCTTTGCCTCCTCTTCCATTGCTACTCAACTTTCCAGGGTAGCCCAGGTTGAGAAATTTTTACTTTCTGCTCTGTTAAGAAACCTTGGTGGGAAACTAATTTGGGTTCCTTTGGGGTTTGGTCCAGTGCCATAGCTTTCTGGGAAATGAGGGCTGCCGTCTAGGGTTCCCATGGCCTGGGCTCCTCTTCCCTGTGTGGCTCGGCATCACGCCTGCTCCCTTTGTGCACTTCTCACCTCACTTGGCTCATTAGTTCTACCATTTGCCTCTTAGATTAATTTTTAGACTGTTAGAGTTGTGTTTGGCAAATATACGTACTAGAGGGATCTGCTCTGTGGCACTGAATATGGAAATGAAGAAAGAAATTTAGCAAAAGGTTAGTAACTAGAAGCATATCAGTAAATAGAAAATGATTCTGTTGCACTCCATTAAAATGGGCATTGTCCTTTTTAATTTAGCTTATAGTAGTGAGAACAGAAACGAATGTTTTAGGCCTTCCAGTCCTAGCATCACTGTGGGAATGTTTAAGGCTAGGCAGTGGCTGATTTTCACCTCCATCTCTCTGCAGCTGACAGAGAACCTGATATCTAGAAGGCACAACAAATCAATGTTACGAATGAATATGATTAATTCAATATAAGTTATTCCTGATCATTTGTCAATACACATGTCAGCATCCCATTTTTTATTCAGATGCATGCCTACATAATGAACTCTTTGTCCCAAGGAAACTGGCCAAGAAGCGGAAGGAGACAATGAGCAGCACGCGGCAGGAGATGACCGTGATGGTGAACTCCATGGACAAGAGCTATGCTGAGCAAGGTACAAACTGCGATGAGGCCTTCTCCTTCATGGACACCCACAATCTGAACGGGAGGTGTAAGTGCACATGTTTCTTGGCTTCTCATCCATCTCTGTGGTTTTCCATTATCCCATTACAGTTCTGGAAAGACTTAGAGAGCAAGGGCTCCTCTCCTCTCCGAGAAGGCACATGCTTCTCATCATTATTTTGTTGTTTAGATGCCATTTGTAAGCTAACCAGGTGTTGAATTACACATGGGAAGCCTGTAAAAAAAAAAAAAACAGTTCACTAAATGCCAGTAACCAGTTAATTGGTGATTTTTTTTAGCTGACAGGATCTGCATTTATTATAGGGCTATCAGCGTCAATTAATAAGTTAAACTGTATTTCCACTTCACAAGTCTTACATTTCACACCAGGTGGGGTAGCCGAGCTCAGCTCATACCTTCCCATACTAACACCTGTGATCCAGGTACAGGCATTATTTCGGGAAGCCAACAATTATGTTGATTATACGAAATACAAAATGAGCAGTTGCTGTGTCCCTGGAGATCCTCTCAGAAATCAGAAATAAATCCCATGGTGTATGCCTGACTCTGTGGTTCATGGCCCTGTTGGGTTCAAGGTCAGAGGTTTCTTTATCATGTGAAATCCATGCCACAGGTGGCTGCTCACCGTGGCTTTATGATCAGGTTGTAGGATAGCATGGGGATGGAATAAAAGTGCACTAATAAAAGTGTGTCAAGGCTGGGGACCTCATGGCTTAGAGGCACAGGAATCTGGTCTCTGCGGGGAGAGGGCATATAGCAGGGTGGACAGTGTGCTGGAGTCCTGACCACCCATCGGGCCTGTTCTGATTCTGTAGCTCCCCCATCCACATCTCTCTTCAGTCACCATCCGGTCACCACACTTGCCTTCTCTCAGGCCTTGCCTTTCTCCTACATTCAGCAAAGCTTCATAGAATTCCGTTGCCTACTTCTCTGTATGGTGGCTATGGTTGTCCATCTGTTCCTACTTAGAAGTGCTACATTTATGCACAATAAACTTTATCATAATGCTCTAGCCTGGTGGAGCGGGAGTTCAGCAGAAACAACTTTGACCCCTGTGGGCAGCCCAGCACTCCTTGTCCTTAGTCATTGCCTTAGCCCTGTTCTGTCAGCTTCAATGTAGGTGACAGAATCGGTGGTATATCACAAGCTATATATTGCATTTTTCACTTTATGATTCATCAGTTGTGGGCTGGTATGGGAGAAGCCCTTCCCACCCAAGACAAGGTTAGAATTTTTGTAGTGGCAGTTATTTCTCAAATGATACTATATAGGAGGCCACATGTTCTGACTTTCCAGGATAACCCATTAATGTCCCAAATTTTCTATTTCATGGTGCAATTCCTCACGCATAAATTTACTTGGAATTACCTGCCCGAAGAGCAGAGACCTACATTAATATTTCCTAGGCTTGTGAAGTTTGAACAACAGGGGATATTTGCCTCTGGACAGGAAATTTAATTTGATATTACTTTTTCAAAAGTGAATGTATCTGTGGCAATCCAAAAATGCTCATGCACAGAGGACTGCTGCAGAAGCCAGCGTTAGCTCCCAAGCCAGCTCGTTTGCTATTAGGCATTTCTGTGGGCCTCCCATCAATGTAGCCAATAGGAGAAACAATGCAATAGGCATTCCATTTTCTTCCCGCTCTTTGAGCAATGAATAGATCTCATCAAATTCCATCTATTAGGAGTGACTCTAATAGTAAACTTTATCATAATGCTCTCTTTCTTAATGCTTTTAAAATAAGAGAGCAGTTACTGAGGGAGGAAAAGGGTTCATTACGCCACTGAGGTTCCAGCCCCAAACTTATTACAAATGTGAGAATGTTTGAGATCTTTTAGGTTTGGGAGAAAGTGCTAGCAGTTGGAAAGGAGTACCTTTTGGAAGTGCAACAGCAAAAAATGAGATTGGACAATTTAAAAATCAGCACAAGTATTATCTATCCACCAAAGTAAAAGGCAGTTGTACATAAAAAGGAAGAAAATAGATAGGCATAGTGGGAATGAGATTAATTTGTGTACTAAAAACCTAAAGTATTTAAAATACCTTTTATTTGAAGGTGAAAATAAACGTGATTATTTTGTGTCTGCTTTGCACATTTTACCAACCATGTAAAAATGTCTGCGGGTAATAGGCATTATTCTTGCTGACCCTCGCATATTTTATAGGTACTCAGGCATTTTGTTCTTATTTTCATCAATTGCTCTCTTTTTTCCTGGCAGCTTTCCATAAACATGCATTATAAATGTGATACTTTTCTATTTTAGAAACATATATTGTAAATAATAGGCAGCCTGGGTTCTGGTTGCTGCTCTGTTGTTCACTAATTCTACCCTTTAAAAACAGAAACGCAGGTAAAACACCAACCTTAAAGGAACTTCTCCAGGAGAGCTAACTATATTAGCATGTCATCAGAGTAAAGGTAACACACAATACCATCGGGATTTGGTATTGGTTCCCATAATACAATGATGTACCTGGGTAGGAACTCAACACCTAATAAATCATATGGCTTCATCACAGGAGTTAAAATTTAGACTTACATTAACCTGCTTGGGCACATTCAAATTATTTATCTGAACACTTTAATGAGATTAAAGTGTTTTTAAAGCACTAATCAATTAAGACATTGAAGGGAATTAGCAAACTAAAAACGAAAAATACCCAATTACAGTGGAATCTCAGCTAAATTAGATGGGATTGACTTTCCTCTTAATGATAGAGAGGAAGAGGTTGAATCTTGAGAGTTTTAGAGGAATATTTCAAATAAAAAGAGCATTTTATATGGATTGAAAAGACAAGTAGGACAATATGTGGGCCTGCAGAGTTGACCTGACATGCAGCACACAGGAAACCTCCCCTTTATTTTCCATACACCAGGGCTGGCAGCTCTCTGCGTACCCAAAAGATGAGGAAAGAGGGGATTTTGCAAGTTATAAAAATCATGTGTGGACACATGCTCGTACTCTTAGTTGAGAAAAATCAGTTCAACTTGATAGTAGCATTTACAGGCAAAGGCTAGGAGTCAATGTAGAAACCTAATGAATTTCATAAAAATGGCAGCTGTGGTTATTGGTTTTTCTTCATCTGTGGGGTAAGAAAAGCTTACAGGATAAGAGGGTGCTTATTCTCTAAAAGAGTAGTTCCCCGGAGAGAGCAGAAATGGTAACATTTACCATGGGGACTTCAGTAAACCTGTGTGTTTCCGCAGCCACGTCTACTCCAGCTGGCGTCCCTGGAAGTGATCCGAGACCCACGCTTCCAGGTGCCATTGCCTCTGCATCTGCTGACTAGCCTTTCTCTTATTTACAGCTGTGTCTTCGCCATCATCCTTTACAATGAAGACAAACACACTGAGCACGTCGGTGCCTAATTCCTATTACCCAGGTAACGGATTTTTCCATGGTTTCGCCTTTCATAAGCCCTAGCAGTTGGACTCAATCAGTGCTCACCTTGCTGTCCATGATGCTTTAGGAGCTTGATGTGTCTGATGTCTTATAACCCGGTGCTTTCTATGGCTTTCTGGGGGAATATCGGGGGGCCTTTCATCAATCATTTACTGTTCTTTCTCTTTTTACTTTCTCTGCATTGACCTGCTTATGATGTATGACAGACCCATTTGTGCCAACTGCAATTTTAGGTGAGAACATTTCCCTTTATCACAGTTTATTGCAGGAGTAATTTAGAGAGTCAGTGGCCAGTCTCTGGGAGAAGTTTTAATTCTCTATGATGCAGTGATTGCAAGTAGGACACAGGGGTAGTGGGTGGTCTGGGATGGGGGGTGGGGAATGGGGACCTAGAGAATAAAAAGACTTTCTCCAGATAGTCTCTATTGCCTCATGCATGTTGGAAATTATACCAAAAGGCTCAAATGAACAATCCCAGCTCCAATAGTGTCCCTTTCTGTGTTCCAAATGTAAAGTCAAGTCTGATCCCAGAAGAAAAAAAAAAGCACAGTATGCAATTGTTCAGCTGTTTACTTCCAAGAGCTGAATTCTGTCCAACGTGACAGTTGTAAAAGTGAAAATAGCTTGTTACATTCACTTACTGCTAAGCACTAACATCTTCGATTTCAAAAATAGCATTTTTGTAATTACAGTATGCCGAACGTCATGCAGAAAAAATGATTACAATAGCGTTTTGGCCCCTTACCCCTCCTCAGAGACACTCGGGGCACCCCGCGTTCTATAGTGTCTGCTCACAGCGGAATTTGAAAGGAGCTGATGTTCCCAACAGCAAAAGGACAAGATGGCACTTTATAATCACATGGTTTACTATGTGTCAGATGTCACTGGAAATGAAATAAAAAGTTAGAAATAAAACATGGGGCAGAACTGTTCCCAGTGGGGATCAAGAGGGGACAACATCCCTTCTGTCGGGTATGAGAAGGGTGAGGGGAAATAGCACTGCCTAGCTATGAAATGGCATGACCAAACCAGGAGGAGCTGCTACTGCATACAACCCACATGTAGCACGGCTGTGTCCTCTTTCTACCACTGACCTTGCCAAGGAGCCCAGCTCTAACGGCTTCAAGGTACATAGCAAGTCATTTAGCCGGAGCTCCATCCTCAGCCGTGACGCCTCCTGACTCTCTTTACACGGGTTTATGTCTTTACAATATAACTTTTCCCCCCTGTGCTTCTCTTTTCTCTAAGTTGTTATGATTTTTGTAAAGAGGGTGATTTTTTTTTTTCTTATGGTCGTTTCTGGGCTTAAGCAAATTCATTGCCTGAGGGGGAAAAAATGAACTCAGAAGTATAAGAATAGGCATAAATCAGAATTTTTGAATTTGCATGATTTTGGTGGCTAACAAACAAAACCCACTAAAGCTCTCACCTTTTAATACTGACTATCAAGGGAGGGAAAGCTGCATTTTTATTCTTTTCATAAGTGAAGGGGCGTGGGCTAATTTTAGGCTCCTGAACAATGCCATCTACATGCGGATGACATTTGCAGCATCTTTGGATAGGCAAAGATTTGCATTTCTTTGTGTGCTGTGCCATTCATTCCCGGCTCCTCTGGTAGACATGCTGACCTTGGGGCGAGCTGTGCATGGGGAGGGCTGAGCTGTCAGAGGGAAGAAAATGTTCAGGTTTCACAGCAGGATTTAGATAAGCTTATTAAACAAATATCATTTTTTTAAAGTCGCTGCTTCATTATTATGAACACTAATGACATCTTTTAAAGTTGGTTAGGCTTCTTTACTGAAAGAGAATCATTTGAACAGATAATTCAAGGAGCAAAAATGATGCACATTGTGAAAAATAAGTCAGCCATGTCTAGCTTATACACGGACCACCATAACAAAGGGTGCTGCTTGGGAGCTGTTCTTCCACATTATTTGGTGCAAATGTGAATTTGGTGTATACTAAGGATTAGTGAGGTTATCGCCTGAGGGAAGATAAGCTGTATATCCACTCTGGTACCTTTTGAGAGTAGAACTAGAATCAGTTTAGAAGAAATGTTTGTTGTGACTTGGAGCTTGGCACAGTTAAGTCTCCTAGTTCCTCCACCTTTTAATCTCACAGGTTAAGGTCCCCAGTCCTGATGTTTAGAGTTTTAGTATGCCTGTACGTCATTTTCTAGCAAAAACAAATAAGATAAATAGATGGATGGGTTGATCAATTGATCGATTCTCCCTGACCTCAAAAACATAGCATTAATTTCAAGGTTTTTTTAGCTAGCTTGTTGAAAATTCAAGATATTAAGAAATATAGGTAGCATTCATTCTCTGTTCTTAGAAAACCATCAGAACTATTAGTGAGAAGTTTTATTTCTGATTTCCTTTTATGCATACTTTTAAATGTAAACATATGTCAATGGGTAAATTTTAACAATGTAGGAAATTAATGTCAAATTGTATGTTTTTATCAGTAATAATTCTTTTTTTAAGAGGTTGTGGACACTGATTTCTCACTTATGTGGGTGGAACCAAGAATTTCTACCGGTTTAGGTGACCCAATTTCATAACAGCTATTGCACAAGGAACGTTCTATTTTTTCTTTGAGATCTAAATGTTAGATAAAAGTACTCTTTTCTTAGGTGGTCTCAGTAGTGTTTAAATGCTTCAGGACACATCTACACTGGTAATGAGGCCGAGATGTCACAGTGCCGGGAGATGATGCATACGATGGTAACAGTGGTTTTAACCACGTGGTTAAAACTTCCAAGAATGTCCCAACCCTGGATCACAGCGCTGCTCGGTCACCAGCTTATCCACTTAAGAGACCCAGATGATTAATTTAGGGGAAGTTTAGAAGGTCAGTCCACAATGGAGGGCATTTAATTATGTTCATCCCAAAAGGTGCAAAAGTGAGGGAACGAGAGAGGCACAGGCGGGAACTAATTAATGTGCCATTTATTTTAGTATCAAGAAGAAACTTTCTACTGGGGTAGCTAAAGCTCCATGGATTCAGTACGTCCGGAGCAATCCTGTATCCCACTTTATGAGCTTGGCAGTCACCAGCAAGCAGACCTGACATGAAAATCTCCCGGTTGATTTGTGACAGTTCTTATAAAATGAGAACATAGGGATTTCTAAATTTCAAAGTAATTCCAGATGGGGGAAAAAATCATAAAATCAACTTACCACCCTTTTTATTTTGTCTTTGTGTCTTTAGCCACCTTGTAGTGATCCAGGTGCCATTTCAGCAACAGCGACATAGCTACACACTTGTGTACCACCTTTCATACCATGCATCCCCAGGTGCTTTGCAATGCAGAGAGAAGGGAGGTTTCAAAACCAGGCCCAGCTGATCAGGCACCCTTGAGCTAAATTTCCTTTGGACCTGAACTTCTCAGTTTAAAAAACAAACCCCATAACTGAATTCCCTGTTGATACACAATCTGGTAATTAAAAAAAAAAAAAAAATTTATACCTGAAATAGATTCTTATTGACTATCCTCATTTTAAGTGACTTTGCATTATACTTTGATGAGACACATCCTCAATTATAAAACAGCTAAAGGTATTCAGCATTATTATGCGTTAACCTGTAGACTATGAAACTCTTAATCTAATAGCACTTTCCTACATAAGACATTTTTTAATAGCTACAATTTCTGCAGTTCACTCATCTAATTTACTAGTAGCCTTCCATCAAAACACAGCCTCTTTAGGCTTATTTGACCAAATTTTCACATTAATTTTGTAATACAATTTGGTTGACCTATTTAAGAAATTCAAATAAGAAGCCTTAGTCCTTACTTGGGTTCTTGGGGGATGAGAAGCAATTGTGATACTTCTTTTACTCCTTTTTGAACAGAGTACATAAGCACCTCCATCCTGACAAGATGGGAGGCTTTGCCCCCTGACCACCTCTGTATAGAGAACTTAACTGTCAAAGCACAAAATAAAAACTACCTGTAATTATTCACACAGTATTATTGCTTATGCCCTGTTTCCTTTTTCTCCTCTTTTCTCCTGATATGTACCTTCTTAAAAGTGCCAATAAATGGTAAGTTCCCCCATACGTCCCATGGAGAAGGTGTGGAGGGAGTGGGGGGTGTTTCTCATCTGTAGACCCTGACAAAGCCAGCTGGCTCTGCTGCGTGTCGGCCTGCATGTTAGCTCCTGTAGAACATTCCATGTGTGGTGTGCTGGTCCACAGTATTTTGTCAAGCTTTCTGATCCTGGAGCATGCAAAGTGACTCATCACTTCCCTTTCCTTTTCCACTTTTCTTTGATTTCACCTGTCAAGTCCATTCTCATTGCTAGCTTTGTAAGCCACACCATTTTGTGCACTTTTGTTTTGCTCACAGAACATTTGTACAGACTTCATTTTCTCCATCATACAAATTAGGTGACAAATCTTCAGAAGAAATCCAAGACTGGTTTAATACCAAGCCTTGATGAAGTTTCAGACTGAAACTTCTATAAACTTAGCACCCGGAGGCTAAAGGGTTCTTACCAACCAGCTTTGTGAAAGAAATGGATCGTTTGGACTGCTTTGTCAAAAGCAAGATTTCTGCCTCATCCCTATCAGTGTTGCCAATCCCATGTAAATTTCTAAACATTTAACTTTTCTTTTTATTGCTGAGCCATTGTAGGGATTATTGCAGCTATAGGTTGAGGGGAATGCCAGCACCAGTTCTTAGCATTTTCAGTGACTTTGACATCGCCTGCTGGCTCACCCTCACTTTCTCCTTCCCTTCCTCTCCTAGACGAGACCCACACAATGGCCAGTGACACCAGCAGCTTGGTGCAGTCGCACACGTACAAGAAGCGCGAGGCGGCCGAAGTGCCCTACCAGACGGGGCAGCTGCATCCTGCCATCCGCGTAGCAGACCTGCTCCAACACATCACGCAGATGAAGTGTGCCGAGGGCTACGGCTTCAAGGAGGAATACGAGGTGAGCATGAGCTCAGCACCAGGGCCCCTCTCAGCCTTCCTGAGCATCATGCCAGGCTCTGTGCTCCCAGCTCACGCAGCCAGCCAGTGGGCCCCATGAGGGCTGCCAGAAAGAGAACAGGTATTCCAGCCATGGCTCCATTTCCATCTGGTAGGGAGATGCATTACTAGGTCGTGAGTGTGCATTAAATGCAATGAAAACAGGCGCCCACCAGGCTCTCATCCCCATTCGTGATCACTTCGTTGGCTTTTCCTGTAATTAAATATGATGTTAGATCCTGATGATTTTTGTGTAGTTAACCCAGGAAGAACCTACTCACTTAAAACAATTATAGACAACCGAAGTCATGTCATGTGGTGGAGATTAGAAGACTGGCTAGTGTCATCCTCGTGACAGCTGGGATTGTCCAGCCAGCCCATGAGCACGTGGCTGACCCAGGATCTAGTGTGACAGCATTCAGGGTATTTCCAGGAGTGGCAGTATTCTCTGATCCTGTGTAAAATGTGGGGCTCATCTCTTTCACAGCCTCTATCATTGACCAGTTCTTTTAGAAAGTCATTCAAGAACTGAAAAGAATGAATTTATTTTAAGAAGTGTGATTCAAAAAAGCCCATGCTACTTGAGTGTCTGAGTCAGGGGAGTAGGTTTCTCTTTTTACCTTGTTAAAATTAGGTCACAGTCACTAGTGAAGAAAAGGTAGCATGCTTATAGTAAAAATAGAGTAGATAGATCATCATCCCAAAGATGGAAGGGTCCCGGGTTTGATTTTCATCAAGGGTATGTACCTCTGTTGCAGGCTTGATCTCTAGCCCTGGTAAGGGCATTCGGAGGCAACCAATCAATGTATCTCTCACATCAATGTTTCTCTCTCTATCTCTCCCTCTCCTTTCCACTCTGAAATAGAAAAAAAAAAAAAAATAGGATTATATAGTTATGTGGTTTTTTTTAATCTTAGAATGTGTTTCTGGTGCCGTATCAACCTGACCAGCCCACAGTTGGAGAACATTTTGTCTGGAATGAGAGTATTTTTAAATCAGTTCCTATCATCTACATATCCTACAAGTTTCAAACTGCTTCATCTCTTCTTAGGGAGCACTTGGTACTTCATATTATGCTCCAGGAGCTGTGTTGTCTTAGATTTAACTCCATTTCCGAGCTTGCTGGCCAGGCTCCTTATAGCAGTGAGAGCCATACCACTGCAATGGCTGATCTTTTAAGTCCAGTTCTCCGCTCCAATGCAGACAAATAGACACACTTTGTCTGCTGACATGTGCATCCTTGTATGTTGCCAGTGGACCTGTGTTCAAAGACAACAAAGCCAAAGAAATGAACTCAAACCAAACCCCAAGGGTTTCATTTAAGTCCAGGAAATATTTTCAGATCAAGTACTGCATTTTAGCAACCCTGAAATTTTTATTTAGTGGCTATTTTAGTTTTACATTTAGTGATTTATAATTCAGTGAAATTGACTGCCTTTGCATATTTCCTCATGCACTTTTAAAAGCTAGCTTAGGAATTAATGGGATTAAGAGTAAGACTTCCAAAAGCATTAATATCTTATGAAAGACAAAATTAGGTTATTGAGAAAATATAAGCCTAATGAATAGAAGTGATGTCTGAGTTCTATCCAATATTCTGAATGCAAATATTACTCAAATGTTTATTAAAGATATTAATGTCAAAGAGATTAGTTATAGGCTCAAATAATAATTCATAAAGTAACCTGATAATTTTTCATGGACTATTTAAAAAATACCTACCTTTTCACTTCCTATAACACACTATAGGTGATACATATTTGAAAGTGTGCAAAAACATATTTTCTATTCAGATATCCTGCAGAAATATGATTTGTAAGTGCCAACAATGATACTCATTTTAAGCATATTATAATTCATGATTCACTGAGTAGTTGTACTTTGAAATAAGATGCTTTACTAATTAATTACATTTTAAATACCCTTTTTCTCATTCTAGCTAGCCAGTAGATCAGAAAGGACTGCTTAAAAATAATATGGGCAAGAGTACCAAATCATCACATTAAAAATCTTAAATTTACTTAATGTTACATATCAGTCATATCTCCATAAAGCTGCGGACAGAAGTAAATGCTTAAACACCAAAACCATTTTAAAACAAAGGAAAAGGAAAGAAGGAAAATGTGTGTGTGGGGGGGGGGGGAGAACATATGCTAGAGAGGAAAGCAGGAACAAATAAGAAGGTGCTATTGGGAGAAATATGAAATGGAATATTCTGTTAAGAAGAATCCTAGCACTGAGTGATTTTCAGATGATTAAATGCCCCTCCTGGGGGTCAGGGGAGGACAAGGTGCTGATGTTGGCAGGAAGAACCTGGTGAGACAGAGTAAGTGGGACATATGATGGATGCTGATGGGTAGGAAAAACTGCAGTGGCTGCACAGAGACAGGGATGCCTGCTAAGCTATGTCTCACCTCAAGCCTGAAGTCCTACCTTTGTCATCCTTGCCTGCATGTGTCACTGAATCACATGACCAGGTCTTCTCTAGAGGCACAGCCAGGCTGATGGGAATTAAAGGAGCTGTCCAGGCTGTATTTATTGTGCTCTACATTCTCTAATCTTAGGGAATATTATCCTAGGATGAATCTAGAAGCCCTCAGGCTATTACTTCTTATATTTATTTAGCTTTAGAACTCTAACCAGAGGTACCTCTTTGAATGGTGCAGTGAAGTGTACATCTTCCCTTTAACATGTCCTAGGAGTCAGGAGTGTTGTGCGGCCTGGCTTAGTGTGATTCCCTCAGGGAAAATACTGAGAGGCCATAGTGTGGGTCTGGGCTCTGGCTCCAGACTGCCTGTATCGCAACTCAACTACTAGCTGTGTTACCTTGAGGAAGTTGTCTAACCTCCCTGTGCCTCAATTTTCTCATCCTTAAAATAAAGTAACTATGGTATCAACCTCATAAGGTTGTATGAGGATTAACCCACTTAATATATCATGACATTCAGTTGAAGTCTTAGCTAGTAAAAGTAGGACAAAAGTAGGTTTAAAAATGTTCATCTGGAAAACAGTACATTAATAAATAAGAATACAAGAATAAACTGTTTTTGCATATTTACAACTGTAAACCTACTTTTGCCCTACCCTGTATAAGATTCAAAAGCAGAAGTTCACACAGTGTCCTTTATAGAGGAACTGTGACACACTGTGGTTCAGTACACATCTGTCATCTCTTGTGTTCGGCACTCTGAGGATACAGTGAGCCAGTCACTTTATGGAAAGGGCTCAGTACATTTTCACTTTAGCTATAGAGCTAAATAATTTCCCTTCTATTTATCATATATCATCAAAAGCTCCCATTAAAAAGTAACTTACATAAATAGGTAGGTTCGATTATGTGAATAAAGTTTGAGAGTTGAGAAAATAAGTATTTTTAAATCTATGCTATCACATGTAATTGCTAAAATAGTATTTTCTGTTAGGAAAGTCCTAAGGAATGTTATAACTGGAGATCATGGAATACTCTTTTCAGAAAGAAAGGTCCTACTGATGTTTGTGGCAAGGCAGGGTTTAGGAGAAAGTTTAATTTAATAAATTGCACTTAATTTACAATAGAACACTGAACAGATGCTGTGAATCTGACACTGCTGGGTACTGGGTGCCTACCCTCCAGAAGCTCACTCTGCAGGAGAAAGCAGCCACATAGCGAATGCAGTGGTTTAAGCCTCACAAAAGAGACTTGCAGTGGTGCCTTTAAGGCCACTGGGGACATCTGAGCCAGTCTGGGGTGCAGCTCTGAGTTAGAATGACCTTTTCTTTAAAGGGTGAGTGGGAGTTGGCAAGGAGAAGGTAAAAAGAGAGCAGATCTCAAGAATACACAAAGTAGAACAGGGCGCACTGAGAAACAGGCCTGAATCCTAAGGGAGACTGCTCTGTACAGGAGTCAGGAATCCAATTATGAAGGACACTTGTGTCATAGTGGAGAGCTTGGACTTGGACATTATTCTGGAAGCATGGGAAAAGAAGAAAGACACAGATAATGTGAGTTTCATTCCTGTACTTGAACGAAGATCTATTTAGTACACACAGCTTAATTCTTAAATATTATCTGCACAGGGCACACAGGAGTTGATTGAAAGATAATAAGCAACACCCAAAAAAGAAAAGGGAGAGGAAAATATATCATGGAGAAAGCATAAGAACTACATCTCTCTGCCCCTGTTTAGAAATGCTATGGCATGTTTGGCTTGGACACTTGTTGAAGCTATGAATTACTTCAGCACTCGAGCATGCGTGGGGATAAATGTCAAGAGAGTCCCCAGTTGCTACTGTGACTCAGAGTAATCATCCAGTTGGTCTTCCTGATTTTCTTCAACCCATGTACATTAGGAAAACCAGCCATCTAGATTGTAAATAGTTTTGAAACAGTGACTTTTTCTCTGCTGACAGTGATTCAACCAATTCATCTTTATCTTTTCCAAGACAGACATGTCTGAAAATTGGCCTAAACACGAGAAGGATTTATTACTGTTCAAGTAGGCAACAGAAGTGTGTCCATACAAAAGGGAAAACATGTGGTGGGGATGAGACGGCACGGTGCTCTGTGCAAATTTTGTATTTGATTTTGTTCTAACAAGATCGTCGTCTGGCACGTCTCACTAGGGAAATGCAATAATTTGATTCAAAAGAAACTCAGACATGAATCACAATAGCAAAGTAAACAGGTTGAATTGAACAGAAAATGGCATATTGTCTGTGGAGGGTGGATGGGGATCTCTGGAGAAAGACGGAGGGGAAAGGGCAAGTTTATCTGCTTTGCTATGAAAGAGGAGCGGGTTCTTTTTCCCAACAAGTAGAGTGGTGTGTGCTAACCCCTTGGGAAAGTCTGTAGGTTTTCAAAGAATGAAAAAACGGAGGTAGCTGCTCTGAAGGGAAGCAGTGAGGACTGAGCTGTCGTGCACCTACAGACTTCTGGGCCTGTAAGACCTGGGGTCAAGAGGGTGATAGGCCCCAGGATACAGC